GGGCCATCGTCCTGTGGTTCTACCAACACGATTCTTGTCCTCAGTGAATTGCCATTGGGTCTTCTTTGAAAATCTAGGTTCCCAATTCTATTCCACTGATCGGTGCCTATTCCGATGTTGGTGCCACACTGTCTTGATTCCTGTAGCTCTGTAGTTAGTTTTAAGGCTGGAAGTGCAAGCCTTCCAACAGTCCTCTTTCCCCCAGGTTGTGCAGACTATTCTGGGTACAGATGTCTCTTGGCCAGGAAGAGATGCTGACCCTCACTCCTAAGGCAATGGTGTGGGAAGGCTGTTGGAGAAGCTCTTTCATAAGATGCTACCCAGGGGGCAGCAAACCCCTTCCTCTGGTGCCAGCTCTGATCTGCCGCCTGGCTTTACATTTTTAATGGATTGAAAGAAAGTCAAATGAAGACTATTTTGTGACACAAGTCGAATGAAGGATGCTTTGTGGCACGGAGGACTGACATGAAACGCAAAGCCCAGTGCCCATAAATAAAAGTTTCATTGGAGCCCAGCCAGGACTGTTTTCTCTGGCCGTTCATGCTCCAGTGGCAGAGTCAGGTGGTTGCTAGGAAACCAGGGTTAGCAAATCCTAAAATATTTACTATCAGGCTCTGTACTGGGAAAGTTTGCCCAGCCCTGCTTTTTGCTAATGCTGTTTGTGTAGAAGTGAGACAGAGTACCGTGCGATTTGTTATATCAAGATTGGAAATAACTCAATGCCCATTGGGAGGACTGGCTAATCAATGATGGGTCATGAGAAAATGAGAAACTGAAGATGCATCCCAAGAGCAGGGAACGGGGCTGGCCTCGCTGGGCAGGGCCCTGGAACAGGAGGGGGCGTGGGCTAGAGGCTGAGGGCTCTGAATTACATACAGGTGTGAGTCACCGCCCTCATTTCTTTCTGAGGAGCAAGATGCTGTGTGATTGGCCATAGTGCAGACACGGTATTAACATCTATGGGAGCCACTGCCAAGGCCGATGCAGATGAACGAAGCAAGGGTGTGGAGCAGGAACAAAGCCCACCACCCGCCTGCCCACCAAGGCCCAGGAGCTCGCCCGGAACCATGTGCTCCGCCTCCCCTCTGCCTGTCCCACCGGAGGCCCGTGTGGCAGGAGTCTGGTCTTCACGGTCATCAGGGGAAATAACCAAAGGGGTATTACACATGTGGCTGGTATACATGTATACACCCTCTGCCTCGCCATGCTAGCTCCCCTCTACCTGGGCCCCCCTGTGATATCATGTCCAAATGACTCACAGCTGTCCCCACCTAACCCACTGCCAGCTAGTCAGGTCTGCCGCATGTGGCCCCGTCGGCCCGAGTGGAAGTGCCCCATCCATTGGGTGTCCCAGGCAGTACGTCTCTAGGGATGCAGACTGCCTCACTCTCGTCTTGGAGAGGCTGATGAGGCCCTCGGCCGAACGTTTAACACACTGTGCCACCGGGGCTCCTGGAACTGTGCAGATTTTAGTTCACACCAACTTATCAGCTTCGACTTACTGATTATAACACGCGTACAGTGTGGGGTGTTCACAGGATTCCGATGCAGCAGGCGCAGGTGGTTTAAAACAGACACCCACCCTGGTTGCTCTGGGGTCAGGGTAGCCTCCTGGAGGCCCTTCCTTGTCTTTCAGTCTCTGGTGGTCCAGGTGTCCGTGGGCTGTGGCTGCGTCCCTCCATCCTCTGCCTCCCCATGTTGGCTCCCCTCTATCTGGGCTCGCCTGTGACCTCAGCACCGACCCTGCTTCCACAAAGGCCATGCTAACAGATAGCAGGAGCTAGGTCTTCAACTCCTGACATGAGTTTAAAATAAATCTTCATCACAAACTGCAAACGACCAAGAAAACTTCTTGTGTCGGTTTGGGGAGAGCTCCCAGGCATATAGTGAACCCACTGTCCTGGCTGCAGGTCCGTCTGGACTCAAAGCAGCCCTGCAGGACAGAGCTGGTCCATAGGACAGAGCTGGTCCATAGGTTTTTTGTGGGAGCAGACAGCCTCGTCTTTCTCCCACTTGTCAGTCACCGGAAAGGCCAGGGCACAGGTCTGCTGCTGGTGTGTGTCGGGGAGACCCAGTTTTCTTACTTGCTCATAACTTGGGAGGGTGCGTTAAGAAACGACAACTGGACCATGTGAACATGCCAGTTATTGGAAACACATGCACACACCTGGGGAAGAGCGCCCTTGGGGAGTGGCCCGAGGTTTGCCTGCAGGCCTTTCCCTGCAGCACGGGCACCCCAAGCCCCAGGCCCCCTTCCTCCCCTGCCAGCAGCTCCCTTCTCTGGCTCCTGCCATAGTTGCCCCACCCACTTGTTCCGGGAATCTGGCAGAGCAGCTGGCCCGCTCAGCTTGCATTAGGTCATGGGAAGTTTAACGATTCAGACGCAGGTCTTGTGGAGGGAGGGACAAGGCCCGTGCACATCCCAGCAACGCACCAGCTAGATGTCACCGCAGGAGCACCGGGAAACGTGACAGTTGGGAAGCACTATGCTTTGGAGAGCAAGTTTATTTTTTTAAAGAACATTTTTTATTAGCACACTTTAAGAGCCTTAGAGAGGCTGCGATAAAATAACTGCGAGTCATCCTGAGAAAACACTCTGGAAGGTGAGCAGGCGGGCGGACAAGAGGCTCTCTCCATTGGTGGGTGACAAGTAAGGCGTGCTGACGTCTCCTGTACCCACCACTGGGCGCCGGCTCACAGGCCTCGGGAAGGCAGAAGGCTCCCAGCTGCTGCTTGCAGACCCTGTGGTCCTGAGACCGACGGTGTGTCCACCCCGCATCCATCAAGTCCTCTGGTGCTAAGCGCCCACGAGCACATGCTGTCCTTGTGTGCGGTGTCCCAGGTTGGTCATGTTCAGAATGCCACACCTTCCCGTCACATTGTTGCACAGACCCGAGTCTAGCATGACCATGACTCCGTTCTGCGGGCAGGACGCATTGCCGGGACAGTGGCTTTATCGGGATGGTTTGGCACCATGTCCACGGTACCTCTGAGGTCCACTGCCTGCACGCCATGACTGACAGTGGTGACGAGTGCATGTGACACAGACTCCGTGGCCGTGTGGCTCCAGGCACTAAGCCTGAAGAGCAACGTGGGCCGAGCCCCCCAGGGAGGCCTGCGTGCCATGGCACCAAGTCTTTGCACTGTCTGCAGGCTTCCCCTCCAGGCCCACAGCCCACAATTCCAGACAGCATGGCCAAGGGACAGGGAGGACGGCTTGGCTGGTCAAGGTGAGACTGTGGGCTTCCCCCATTTTCCACGGGGATGCTTACAGCAGGCGGCTCAGAGACAGTGGGGGCTCGGTTCCTGACAGCGGAAACGTAGCCACTGTCACTGTCAGGCCGGCTGCGTGCCTGCCTGGCCTCCCAGTGCTGAGAGAAGTTAAGTCACTCTGGGTGCACTTGCTCTGTGCCAAACGTGCAGGAGCAGAGGGAGACGCCTGAAAGACTGTGAGCATGACAGGAGGCCCGAGAGACACCGAGTGAGCACAGCTGGGTGGGAAAACGGCGCCGATGGAACTGATGCCACGGACCTTCCATTTGTGAGGGCGCAGGCTGGGCCGGGACAGCTGTCTCCTGGAGGTCCCAGCCCTGCCTGTGGGACGTCCTCTGGGCACGGTCCACGTAACTAATCATGGTCCACGTAACAATTCATCTCCTTTGCATGTGCCACACCCCAAATCCTGCAGGGCACCCCACACCCATCCACCGCACCATCACCGTTCCCGGGAACTGCACCAACTGCCTAGCACATCCTCTGAACCCCAGCCTCAGTCAGTCACCCCACCAGGGAAGAGGACGGCGACCAGCCCGTGGGCGTCTGCTCCCTAATTATGGGCCCGCCCCATCAAGGCTCTCATCTCTGGCTAAAGCCCGGGTCCCTTTACAGTGGGAATGACACAGCCAAGCCAAGGCACTGCGTGCAGAAACCTAAAGCTAAGGGTGGCCAAGGGAGCAATAGGAGAAAATTAGTCCTGGCTTGCAGAGACCTCTCTGCATGCAGTACCCAGCCCCAAAGTTGGTTTTTGCACATCAAACAAAAAGCAGTCAAAACAATGGGACAGGCATTTTACTAGCTCCCTTCCTATGTAGACAGTGCTGACCGTCCAACAAGAAAGCCAAGAGCAAGGAAAGCAGGTGGCAGACAGGTCACTAGGCCACGTTTTCGGCCGTTGCTACTCCACTGCTCCACGCATTAGGCAGATGAAACTGCAGCGAGAGGGCTCTGTGCCTCAGACTTGGCAAAGCGCCCGCCTGCAAATGCACTGCGCCCGAGGCTGTGGGCCCTTCTGGAGGGCCATTGCTCATTGTCAAAACTAAAGCTGTGTCCACGGCCCACGGTGTCTGCTCCCAGACTTGCTCTGTAGCTGATGGTTGCAGTGTGGGGGGTTATGAGAGTGAGGTGTGTGTGTGCGTGTACATATGTGTGTGTGTCTACACGTGTGTACAGTGTGATATGTGGATGTTTATAAGGGAGGTGGCTGTGGTACAGTGTGTGCCTGTAAGGGAAGTGTGTCTACGTGGGTGGGTGTGTAAAGGTGTGTGTGTGTGTATACACAGGTGGGTGTGGAGCAGTGTGGGCCTTTGTGAGGGGGCATGGGAGGGTGGGTGTGTTCTGTGCACGTGAGCAGAGATATCGTGTAACCCAACCCACCCACCACTAGCTACGGGGTCCGACCACTTGGGGCAGTTTCCTCTGAGGTCCTCTGTGCTGGGCGTCCGTGGTGAGGTCCCATAGTCCCGGCTCACTCGCAGAACTGGACGGTGGCCATGCTGGCCCCGGAGGGGTGATCAGTGAGGACGGCAGGCTCTCACCTGGTGTTTCCCAGAAGGTGCCGGAGCACCAGAGCATGAGGGCCTAGGAGGGCTCCTCCCACAGCCGGAGCAGCAAACCTGCTGCTACCTCATGACACCTCTTGGGATACGGGGTGACGCAGAAAACAAGTGGCAACCAGGTAGCGACAAAGTCACACAGCCAGGCAGGAGGAACGCCTAGGGGTGTCTAGAAAAAGGTGTCTTCCTCTGGTTTTATTTGATACATTTTCACAGAAACATGGCATATTTACAAATATACAGGGACGGGGGAGACTGCTGGTCAGAATCTTAAACTGCAAATGGCATCAAAAAGTAATTTACAAAACCACCATGTGTCCAAGGGAGCGAGGGGGCGCCGGACAGTTTCTGCCCCAAACCGGAGCCAATGAGCTTCCGGCTCTTCCGATTCTGTCACCTCACATGCCTTGAACGTGGCCTGGTCTGTGCTGACCCCGGCAGTGGTGGTGGTGGTGGGAGGGTGGGCAGCCATGGGCTCAGGCTCAGGAGGCGCTGGTCTGCAGGTTTTTGGACGCTGCAAGCATTGCTCTCACTTTGGCCATAAGGTCCTGTCACGGTGAAAGGCCAGGGGGCTGATGTGAGCACCCTCTGATCCAGCAGGGAGGGCTAGAGGGTGGACCCAGCCCACATTCTGGCCATGGTGTGTGTGAACCTGGGACCTCCACCCCCACCCCGACCCCAGCCCCAGGTGCGAGGCAGGGAGGAGCGCAGTGGCCGGTCTCACCTGAGTTATTTTGCTTTGCACGGAGGACACGATCGCTGACGAGATCTGCCCGTCCTTCTCCTGAGAAACCCCCCTGAAGCAGACACGAAGGGTCAGGGTCAGGAAAGCACTGAGCACTGACTGGTGCAAACTCCCAGGGGGAGCAGACCTACCCCACCTCCCAGGCCAGAAACATCACCGTCACCGTTCCACTCTTACACTCCAGGTGACACAGAGGAAAGGGGTGCCATCAGGCACAAGTCCCCCGCTGCAAGCCTCCCTGGGTGGGACAGCCTGCTCCGACCCACCCCAGAGCTGCCCATTGCGCGGCCCCCGCTGGGTGAGGAGGGCAGACCACAGGTCCCTACACACTCCCCTGTGGCCAGAGCCCCATGCCTCTTCACGCTGTAACAAGGTCACACCTGGTGGTGCTCAGTGGGTTAAGTGCTAGCTGCTAGCTGAAAGGCCAGGCCATCTGTTCAAACCCACCAGCTGCCTCTCGGGAGAGAGATGAGGCAGTCTGGTGTCACAGACTCAGAGAGCTACCGCATACACTCGAGTATAAGCTGACTGCATTATCAGTCAAGGCACCCAATTTTACCACAAGAACAGCATTAAAAATGTGCTGAAAAACTCCATGTATACACAAGTATATATGGTAAGTGGCTCCATTCTGTCCTGCAGGGTCACCGTGAGTCAGAAAGACAACAGCAGTGGGCTTGGTGCCTTTGGGTCAAGTGGGGTCTCTACGGCCCTTACAGGAAGTGGTGTGGGCTACTTCAACTCCGGGCACATGCCCCCCGCTCTCATCAAAGGAGCAGGTTCACAGTGTGAAGAACAAACAAACTTTACTCCCAAAGGGTACACCCAGAGGTGCCCCCTCTCCCCCTGAAAGTCCCTGGCTAAGGTGAATGATGCTGACCTGTCCAGGCCCACCAGCTACATAATCACTCCTATGTGACAGCGAGTGAGAAAGCGGAGACCCTGCGTCACCAGGCCGTGACAGCAGCCCAAGTGCTGGGCACAGCTCTGAGGGTAGGTGGACACACTGGCATGGTGCCGGGCACTGGTGTTGGTGAAGGAGGACTCCTCTGTCAGGTAGGGGTGTGTGCGCGTGTGCGTTTTTTACCTGGAGCGCTCCTGGCTGGAGCCCCGGCTCTCCACAGGAGAGATGCTGGCCGAGTGGGCGGCCGCCCTGTGTGCCGACTGCTTACTCGGGGACACCGACTGAGACCTGGCCTTGGACTTGGTCCGAGACCGTGACCGCCTCTTCTTCTTCTTCTCGTGGGGGCTCCTGGGGAGAAACACGTTCATGACGCAAGGGCTGATGCAAGGGTGCTGGGAAGAAGGAGTCGGCCCGTGAGCGGCTCACGACACCTCAGTGACTTTCCCTTCCTCCCGGGAGACACGTGGGCACGCCAGTCAGCATTGCCACGACATCACAGAAATGCCTATGAGACAAAAGGGTGGCGCTGTAACTCCTCAGCACGTCCTCTGTCTGGGTTTACATGCAGCTAAGGGCGGCTTCCCCCTCTAACCCCGTCCACAGGAATTCTAGGCAACACAGCTGTTTGACACCCCTCACCCCCATTCATGTTCCTTTTCAATGTTCTCCACTTGAAGGAACCAGCAGAGGTCTGAAGGGGCAGGCTCAGGGCTGCAGGTGGATGGGGGAGGTCTCCCAAAGACATTCCCCCAGGACGGGCCCTGGACCCAGGAAGAATAAGCGGGAGTGCTGTTCCCAGGAACAGGGGGGGAAATCCTCACTGCAATTTTCCCGACCGTTTGCTATTCAATGTAGCTTTCCATTTTCTAAGACACCGTGACTGTCATGTGTCCTTCGAGAATCTACCAAGATGATCCCGTGGGACCCCTCTGCCCTGAACAGGCTGGCAGATGCCCTCAGATAGATGCCACTGTTCTGGATGCCACTGTTCTGACTGGGCCTTTTTTTTTTTAAGGCATCCTAATGAGACTAACCTTGGGAGAAAGGAATAAAGAGGAAGAACACAGTCAGCATTATTTTAAACTGAAAGAATTGAGGAAGAAATTCAAGCCTTGAGGTGCAATAGGGACAAGATTCTATGGGCGAAATCGTGGACACTGCAGGAAGCACCTAAAGACGATGGAGAGGATGCACAGATCCCCCGGTGACCAGTCACCCACGTCTAGAAGCAGCACAGGGCAAGAACCAATGGTGCTGATGCACAAGTTCAAGCTGTACTGAAAGCATCAGCCACATAAATACAAGGCTCCCGGAATGGGCGGACTACCAACTGAAATGTTTCGACAAGCTGATGGAGCACTGGCAGCTCTCCCTCGTGGAGGCCAGGAAACGCGGGAGACGACCGACACTGGTGGGAGGAGACCCACGTCTGTGCCCACTCCTAAGACAGGTGGCGCAGCACAACGGTCACACGATGGAACCCCGTCAGCCAGGTCACCGACTAGCAGAATTATGCCGAAGACCACCCAGCCGCAATGGTTGCAACGGGACATTGACAGGGAGCTGCCAGAGGTTCAGGCTGGATTCAGAAGAGGATGGGAACAAGGATCTCATGGATCTCAGTTAGATCTTGCCGGAGAGCAAGAGTACCAGAGTGATGTTGACTTGTGTTTCATGGACTGACTATGCCAAGGCATCTGTGTGGATCATAACAAACTATGGACAGCTGTGAGAGGACTGAGACTGCACGTGGATCTAGAGGCAGCTGTGCAAACGAGGCGTACAGCCTGGTTTAAACTCAGAGAGGCATGTGTCGGGGTTGTCTCTCACTATACTGATTCAACCTGTGTGCCGAGCGAATCGTCAGAGAATCTGGATAGTTCTCCCTGCAGGAGAGAGAGGAAGCCGTTGTAAAGACTGGAGACCCTGGGAACCCCGTGGGGCATTCCCTGTCCTGCAGGCTCACTGTGAGTCAGAATGGACCCGCTGGTTCATGGGGACTGTGACTTCCCTGGGCAGCCCCGTTCTCCCAGCTGGCAGTGTGTGTACTTCCTGCTTCTTGTCAGACAAGACTGTGCACTGGGGCAGTTTCCCTCCTGTCCTTTCGCCTTTTGAGTCCGGCCTCACAGCCTGGCTGAGCCATGGACTTGGTGCAAGGTGGCCTGTGAGGGCAGCGGTGAGCCTGCAGCTAACCATGGGTCCATGTGTGTTCAGGAGACGTGTCGCCAAGCCTGCGATGTACTCGTCCAGGGCTTGGCACAGACCAGCACCCGTGCCTGCAGCGCCGCCTGGTACAGGTTCTTCCTGTGCACAGGGAGCTCGTGCGGCTGGCTTCAAAAGTCCCCGTGTGCTAAACTTCCCCGGGAAGTCAGGGCGGATCTGGGCACGTGGTGACTCCCCCACTGGGCAGGTCTCATCCTCTGTGACCTGGGCGGAGTGCTGCGGCAGGACTGTGAAGGGGCGCTGAGACCTCCGCTGGTGATTCTGGGTCCGCTGTGCCTCTGAGCTGACAGCTCTGGGAGCCACCCCACCTCTCAGGAGAGTGACATTTAAAGCCCAGGGCCATGTCAGAAAGGCCGCACAGGTTTGGGGCCCAAGCCTGGCTGTCAGAGCGCTCACTGGCCCCATTCAATCAGCCTCTCCTTTATACACGGCTACTCGGCGACTGAAAAGATTATCCAGGGTCCAGGATGCCTTTCAACTGTGGGCCATGCCTGCCTGCGTGCTCCAGGACGGAGGTCTGAGGAGGATCTGATTTCTGCCTTACATTTGTACCTGGTGAGACCAGACCAGGACCCACAACTCCAATCACACCAAGCGGGTGGGAGACGGGATTACTCGGCTAGAACTTCTTGCGCAGAGTGAGTGAGTGAGTGAGTGGACGGTGACACCCTGGTGGGCACCAGCGGGCCTCACAGGGCCAGATGGCATTTGTATCAGGAGGCACAGATCCCATTTACTGCCCATGGAGGGTCCTGGGTAACTGGGTCCTGCAGGTGTACTCTGAGGAGGAGCTGCCGCCTGATAAATGGGCAGCAGGGGGCAAGGCTAGACACTTGCCCTGGAATGGGGGAACACCATGGGCACCTCCATGGGGATTCTGAGCCTCCGTGGTTATGTCAGCACCATGAGACTCAAGGCTGCTGTGCCCCAAAGGTGAGCCCTGCCACAGTGCCTGTGCGGAGTGCAAAGACGCCAGTGTTCAGGGAGAAAGAAGCGCAAGGTTGCAGGTTGCGTCCTGTGTAGGATGTGTGCAGCAGCGAGGCCACAAGTCTGAGACACCGTGAGACTGACCAACATGGCGACACAGACAGGATGTGAGCACCAGCTCCCCCGCCCCCCCAGCCCCAACTGGCCTCAATGATGCTCTGATTTCTGCGCAGCACAGCACCCTGAGGCAGGCCTGTGTGCCCCACTGAGCCCCGCCTGCCTTCCAGCACAGACCCCGAAGCTGGCACCTTCTGCCACTGTGCACTCTAGCCCACCTGGAGCGTGTCCGCTTCCGGCTGACCCCGGGGCTGTTGCTCACACGGTAGGCAGTGGGGACGCTCCTCTCCTCCCGGCGCCGCTCTGGGGAGCGCACTCTTCTCCGCGGGGACCTGGAACGTGACCTGCACAGAGGACAGGGGTCAGGCCAGGTCTGTGGGTGCAGCACGGTGTGCAGGGCTGAGTTCTGCAGGGGTGCCCTGGGTGGGGGTTGGACACCCCCCGATCTGTCTCTACCGCACCAGGGTGGCTGTTTTCCACACCAGGAGCCCACTTGGGACACTGATGGGCTTTGTGCAGCGCCAGGGCCAGCTCAGACCTGATGCTTCCCCCAGCCCACCCCCACAAACCTCTGTCCACTGTGGCCAAGCTTTCTGACATTTCTGTTGGGTGTCAGGCTGGCAGGGAGTGACATCTGGTTCAGGAGGGCCAGTGGAGCCAGAAGGTCAGCTGGCCACTTCTGCTGCTCCCTTCCCTCTAGGTAGAGTGGCACCAACCCTGCACTCCCCAGGTCTCTCTGCATGCCAGTCATGTGGGGAGTTACGCCACCCGGCTGCCAACAAGAGGAGCCGGGTGATGCAGGGGTTAAGTGCTTGGCTGCTAATCACAAGGATAGCCGTTCAAATCCACCAGCTGCTTCATGGGAGAAATGTGAGGCAGGCAGCTCCTGCAGAGACGGATCCCCTTGAAATCCCCCCCGGGGTTGCTCTGTCCTACAGGGCAACTATGAGTGCCAGTGGACTTGAGGGCAGTGGCCGGCAAAGTGACTAGATTTCATGGGTGAAACTCCGCCTATGGGGGTGCTCTGGGCCTGATGCTGCGCCCCGCAAGCAGGTGCCCACATGGGGCCAGGCTCTCCCCGCGGGCCCTTGGGGGTGGGTGTTGGTTCTGTAGCCCATCAGCAGAAAGGGATGGGGACAAACCCAATCCAGCCCGCATCTCTTGCCTTTCTGCTTCCATGACAACCCACGTGAAAACCATACAAACAAGCCGTTCGATTCCACCTGAAAACCCTGATTTTGACTGCAGTAAGACACCCTCAACACACAACACTCAGAACATGCCACCACCCCTGCTGGGGCCTTGGGTGGGCTTGTGTCCTTCCTGGGAAACAGAGGTACCCCGGCCGGGCCGGACTCGTGAGTGCCCGGCTGAGGCCGATGGTGGGCCAGCAGACAGCTCTGACCTGCCTCGCAGCCGCGGGCCATTCTGGGTTGATCTTTAGGACCTCTCCTAGGGTGCGGCCAAGGATGACAAAGGCAGTTGGCGGGCGCCTTGTCCTTCACCAGGCTTCCTTCCCCGGGTGTGTGCTGGGGGCTGTCTGGGCCCCAGCCAGGCAGCAGGAAGCTTTCAGGGATATTTCACATGGAGCCAGTCACCCAGGCTGGCCACCACCAGCGGCTACTTGAAATAAGAGGTCCTGGTGCTGTCTCTCTGGTAACCAGGCTTCTGGCATGGCCACCACGGCACGGGGCAGAACAAGGCCCTGCAGCAGCCACCGACACTGACAGGGACGTGTCTATAGTAGGTCACTGTACATCTCCTCGACCTCCTCCCCATGGACACTCCCTTGGCGAGCCCTGGGCGCTGAGCCCTGCGGGACGCAGCTAACCACGGACATAATGTGAACGTCAGGCAGCACGTCAACAGCAGGAGTACTTCTAAAAGCAACTCATTCCACTGAGGTAGAGAATCCCACGGCATGCAAAAATACAGGTGAAGTACAGCACAGGAGAGAAGAGTCCGACACTCAGAGATCTTCCTATCAGTGTCTGAGAGATGGAATTGTAGTTACTAATGGAAACGCTGTGTGTAAACATAAACTCGTGAAGATATAAAACGGCTTTCTAGTCTAGACTTAGGATTTTAGCAATTTAGCACTGTGAAAGAAAAAATGTCATTTGCAGTCTCCTACCACGATTAGAATAAAAGGGGGGTGGTGGTGGCATTTTACTGGAGCTGGCAGTGGTCATTTAAAACGGTCAGCACCTCAGGTCCTAGGTCGACATTACATCTGCACCTGGTTCCTCTATCTGAAGGGACAGACAGGTACAGAAGAGGTCGGGACAAAGTTGTTAGCAATCTAAATATTTTGGCTAAAATGGAACAAGTCCTGTATATCCCACGGAGCCCTGTTGGTGGGCCATGATTCACAAGTTCAGCAGCTCCACCCGCGTCACTCCTGGGGGACTCTCCTAAGGAGTTACAGCCTTGGATGACCACTGCAGTCCCACTCTGTCCCACAGCACAGGGTGGCTGTGAGCTGGCACTGACTGGATGGCAGTGAGAGCCCTGTCACTGGTCAGTGCTAGGAGTGTGGACTGGGAAACGGGGCCAGCCACTAGCTGACACAGGACGCCCCCAACCTGACAGCAGTGCCTTCTCCGGCGAGAGGGCTAAAGCTGGCTCCCCTCAGTGGGTCTACAACGACAAGCTGCCATAATGAACAGCTTACCTACCTTGGCAGCTGCAGGAGGATGAGCCTCAGCTGGGACTCGCCCTTGAGAGACTTGGAAACGCGGACAGGGGTCTGTGACGAGGAGAGACCCCTCTCTTTAGCTCACTCCCTAGGCAGCACCATGCCCTGCGCAGCCACCAGGGTCTCCTACTTGTAATCCAGTCACACAAACAAATGACACAGATTTAACTTGCCCGTCAGTTGGTTTAACCAACTCCACATCTTCTGGCACCTGCAGCTCGGACCCCAGCCAGAGATCACAAAGCTATGAAAATGACCAACTTGTTCCCACTGTAGACTGTTCTAAGTTTACGTCCAACTGAGGTTAAAATTGGCAGTCTCGTGTCACTGGAGACTTCTGAGTTTCTTTCTCACTCCAGTGGAAACAGCAGACCGAGGAGAGGAGCTCCGCTCACCAGCATCAAGTCTGCTCAAACAGCCCGATTTACCTCAACACGAAACAAAACACATACACCCCTGCCTCCGCTAACACCACATCACTCACAGGTGATCTACCCTATCATAGACGAACAATCAACACACACGAAAACTCAACAAACATGAACTGTTTGCCCCTGGGGTTGGAGACTGTGCACGGTGGTCCACAGCCCTGTCCTGAGAGCCGGCCATTTGAAGGCTGGACACCCAGCAGTGAAGCTTAGAGGGTGGGGTTGAGGAGCAAGCCTGAGTCTGCTGTGTGAGTCTGCCACAGGGTAGTGGAGGGTGGTGGTGGGGTCTTCCTGGACCTGACAGAGCTCCCTGGCTGGCTGGCTGGCTGGTGTGTCCTTGTCATTTATTTCCAGCTATAAAGTGGCCTAAAAACTCATTTTCAAATAAGAAACCTTTAAAAGTTTTGAGACATACATAAAAATTCTGGGGAACTTCCAAAAATAGAAAGCATGGCATTAAGAGTGCTCAACATAAAACAAAAAGGCTTTTGTGCTGAAGTGTCAGTTGGGAAGGGGGGTCAGGGGTAGGGGAGCGAGATGGTTGGTGGAGAGGGCATGATCGTTCAAAGAATTAGCCAAATGCAGCTCTCTCAGTCCCCAAGCACATCCAAGGTCACTGTCATCGCCAAGTTGTGTCAAGACGAGTCAGGCCTTTGGGGTCTGATGTGGGTAGAGTTAAGGCAAGCCTCTTGCTTTGAGGATATATTCAACGAGGCATGTGTGTACAATTGTTTAAAAACAAAAAGGTTTTGGAATTTTTTAGGGACCACTGCATTTTCCAACTGGAAAGAACTGAACTAATTAGAGGACAAAAGCCACATCCCGACAAAACAAGCAAGCACTCTATTGCAGAGATGAGGGACGTCCCAGCGGCACAGAAGAAATCAGAAGGCAGGACGAGGGCTCTGAGAATAGCCACCGGCATCTCTCCATCTCCCTCTAGCCAGCGCCTCTCAGCAAGCACGGCACTCCTCGACCGCGCACAGCCCCTGCACACTGGTTACTTCCGTTGCTGGAGTGGTGACATGCTTGCTCACAGGCTGGCTGACAGTGGCGGCTTGTGGGGGCTTCTGTAGAGGTCGGGGGTGGTGGTGGTGGTGGTGGTGGCAGGGATGACAAGTCGGGTGCGCGCAGGATATTGTGCAGGCAGGGGAAGGGAGCCTGCTGCTCCAAGCCTTCCAAACCCCGCCTAAGTGGAGATAAGTGCTCACCCACCGGCATGGGATGCTCAGCCCTGCCCAGGCCAGTGTACACAGGTCTGCTCCTGGGCGCCAGAGGTTGAGAAGGGCCACCTAGGCACACAGCACCTGTGCCTCTTGGACACCCACCCCGCAGCCCCTACCTGGAGCGCCGCACTGTCCGGTAGGCGCTGGGGAGGGTGTGCTTGGCCTTTGAGTGCGACCGGGACCGGGACTTGGATGAGGAGTGATACTTGGGGGAGCGGGATCGCGTCCGAGACCGTTTTTTGTGCTTTTTCTTCTTCTTCTCCTTCTCTTCTTCCCGGGGAGGATCTCTGCTTCTGCTCGAAGGCCGGTCGGCGGGTTTGCCTTCTAGAGGGGGCAGGGGTCTCCCCGCTGTCGGTGGAGCGCAGGGCACAGCACAGGCTTCCTGCAATCAAAGGAGATGCTTGGGGTGAACAGGGACAGAGTGCAGACGTGGGAGATGCAGTTCGTGCACACCAGGACTACCTCTCACCCAAGACACCCCTCCTCCTACCCCTGGAAGATGGACAGTCATCAAACCCTGTGTGCTCAGGAGCCCGAAGCGCCCAGAGAACAAGTGAAACCCCGCCCTCCACAGAGCGCCTTCCTGCCCGTGCCCCCTGTGCATGGCAGGCCCAGCAGGAGCCCCAAGTGAGCCAGCCTCCGCTGCTCCTCTCCTCCACAGAGCCCAGCCTGCAGCCCCACGGACATACATGCTCTATGGCTTCCTGGGGACACAGATCACACCGTGGCCTGGCAGTCTGTGAAAAGTTGGTGTCCTTCTGCAGCCCTGTCCCTCGCCATTCAGGAGGTCACTTCTCAAGGTCATTCCTGGAGAAAGGAATCTCTCCCATCCATTCAGCTCCAAACAGCTAGAGACGAACGTGCACCAAGTACTCCACTTGCCAGCAGCAAGCTGTTTCTCCAAGACCCCTCTCGAGGCCCACTGGTTTCCCGGGTTACACTCTTGCTGTGGCTCGACCCTGGCAGGTCTGGTTCAGTGAAAACCACGAGGACTGCTGGCACTGGGACCAGCCTGCTGCTGCCCACAGCTGACCGTTGCCCAGCGCTTACAGTGCTCGAGGTGGCTGTCTGTCTGGGTGGTCCAGAGGAGTAAGCTTTGTTTGGGGTCATCATGCCAGGCCTGCTGCTGGAGCTCCTGGTTCATCTCTGATGTGCGACCCACAGGAGGCCAAATGAGAGGTCTACACCAGAGACCCACACGTTGCCCCATGGTCCACACAGCACCCAGGGAGGGGGATGGGACTGAGACAGCTCTGCTTGTAGGTGGGAAACAAGTTCAAAGGTGAAACGAGACACTAACATGCCTTTGAGGGGCCCACTCAGCCAGGCCTGGAGCCCATGCCTGCCGCTGAGAGGAGGCAGGAACAGCCTGGCCGCCAAAGATGCACTCTATGGAGACACCCACATGCTGCTCACGGGGTGTGTGTGCTTGTATGTGTGCGAGCTCACAGGCGCATGCTCCTGAGGAGACGCACGCCACACCATCTCAGTCCGCGGGCTCTGCGCTGGGGATGGCACTTGGGTCTGGCCCCAGGGCAGGGCTGGCAGGGAACAGCCAGGCAACTGCAGTGGATGGCGGGGTCCCTGACGCCACAACTGCCCACAACGCTTGGGAAAACTGGGTGTGGGCCTCACTCCGGCCAGAGTGTGAGAGAGTGGCACAGGCCAGCCCTGGCCCCTCCTCGACAGAGACTTTCAGTGTAGATGCTGTGTCTGCAGAGAAGGCGCCTCTCGACTGCCCTGCCCTGCACGGCACACGGCCTGCCAGCTCTGAGGCCACTGCAGCCGTCCCCGGTGAGCAGTGAGCGCACGCCCGGCTCCTGGGGGCAGCCCGGCAGATGGCATCAGTGTCCACCAGCTGGGGCAGAGCTACCTGTTAGGGAAGCACTCTTCATATTCCAGCGCACTCAGGCCACCACGGGGGAGGGGCCGGAGGGGCATCAGGCGGTGTCCCGTTGCTTTAGTCGCACAGGGAGGAGAAGGGCAGCCGGCCCTTTTATCACAGCCAAGTGTTTGGCAACAAATTAGCACAAAAACTAACAACTACCCTTTCCTGCTGTGGCAAAACGAATTGTGGAAGAGCAGATTAACATGTATTTTAAAGTAACATCAAATCTTATTTGTGAAGTAACGCTACATTAACTGTGAAATGGGATAATTATACATAAGGCTCGGGGTTTTCTATGTTTGGAATCTCAGACGCCTGCGCTGGTCTCCTCTTGAGTCCTGCTCCCAGCAGCAGCGGGGGCAGCTCCGCTCGGGACCGAGGCAAGACCCAAGTCACCCCCACGCTGCCTGTGCGTGTGCCAGCCCTGCACATATTGCATCCTCCATGGGCCGGCCAGGCACCCCCAACCTGCTGCCAGCCACCCGGCCAGGCCACTTCCTTCTCAGGTGTCCCTGCTGCTGGGTCTTGGCTGGCTGGAGCCTCTCCAGGGATCCTGCAGCCTTCTGGGGCCACCCTGAGGGGCTGCAGATGGCTGTCACCTGCCCTCTGTGGAGGGAGCGAGGTGTGGCACAGGGTCTCTCACAGTCCCAGAATGCATGCTGGGCCCCTCGGGCCTGCCTTGCTGGGAACTCACCGGCGTGAACCACAACTTCACAAACACAAGTCTTTTGACTACTGATGAAAACCAATGGACAGGTTTGTGACTCAGATTCCAGAGTACCCAGCTGGTTGCTGTGACGATTTTCTGCTAAACTCCTGGACCGGGCGATGTGGCAGGGCCACTAGGTTTAAAATGTGGAGGATCACACACCTCAAAGCCAAATGCGACACCGTGGGGAGGATTCTGACCCACAATGACCCTGCAGGATGGAGCACAACTGCCCCCAGGGCTTCTCAGGATGTCACGTCTTTCCCTTCCAACGTCATGTTGCTGTTGAGCGCGTACACGGTTTGTATGGTGGAGTCGCAGCCCCTCTCCCATCCCCGAGCTGCAGACTCCACGGCCTGGCTTGCTCTGCGGAGTGGCTGGCGGGTGCACACCTGTGACCCCGCGGTTGGCAGCGGAGCACTAAGCCACCGTGCCTCCAGGGCTCCTTGTAACTCAAAGGGGTCCATTTCAGGACAACTTCAGATCAGATTTCTCCTGTTTCTAATGAAGAGAGCCTGTGCATACACACACATGAGATAGCATATGTAACGCGTGTGTACGACGTAGGTGCACGCAGTTCTATGTTTCCACCTTTTTGTCACTAGAGACACCATTCTGAAGTTATACCTACCAGGCCAAGCCCCATTGGAGAAAAAGGGCAGAATGCTGAGACAGGGTCCATGCCATGGACTGAGGGGAAGCAGGGAGAAGATGCACACTTGCCCACGTGTGGGGACAGCTCTGGCTGCACTGTGTGAGAGGGGTGTGTGTGTGGGGGGTGTTGTATCACTCCCCAGGTCCTCACACTGAGAAATCCCTGGTGGCGTGGTATGGTGTGTTCACAGCCAACACGGCCGATACCAAAATAAAAAGATAATCGGCAGAGACAGGCCAGGGTGTGAGCTCATGGCAGACACAAACACCGGTGGCCCAGGCACGTAGGACAGGTTCCTGCACCCAAGAGTCAGAGACAACCCCCTCACCCCCGCCGGGCTGGCAGGGTGGGCACAATTCCCCACCCCACAGGGCACACTCAGGTTGTGCCACAAGGGCTCTCACAGGCCAGGACACAGGAGCTCCCCCTGGCCCGTGGCACCAGCACAGGGAGGGCAGGCAAGTCCTGGGCGGCATCTGACGAGGCGGGCTTGAGGGCAGGGACATCAGTGGGCAGCGCTGAGCACCACAGAGGCCTGCATAGGAAAGGAGGGCCCTTGGTGTGAGGGGAAAGGGCAGGTGCCAGGAGGCTGCCCCCGCTGCGGCCTGGTCAGGGTGAAAGATTCGAGCCCAACAAACCAAACCCATGGCTGCCAAGTCAGCTTAGACTCAGCGGCACTACAGGACCAAAAGGAGCTGCTCCACTAGGTTTCCTGATGGCATCGTGACAAGAGCAGCCGCTACATTCCTCCCTCGGGGCAGCTGGTGCGTTTGAGCTGCCGACCTTCCTGGCGCAGCCCAGCACACATCCCACAGTGCCACCAGGGCTCCTGTTAAAGCCACACGCCAACAAGTAGACGTGGCGTCCCTCATGAAAACACAAGCAGCAGCTATTAACACCACTTACCATTGGGGAAAAGCCGAGAAAGAGTCAGTCTCTGCAGCATACATTAGTCTAACTTCTGAATGTCTTTTTTCCCGGCGAAGCAATATTTTACCAAAAAGAGAAGACACACGCAATTTACTGGCATGAGTTATTCCACTTTGGTTTTGATGTTTATGCCATGAGTTTTAAACCCTGGTTTTAAAATGGGTTCACTGTGGTTAAAATATTTACAGCACAACATCTGCCAGGTCAACTTCCCTGCATCCCTCACGTGCACAGCTCTGTGGCAGGGCCACGCGCAGCATGCTTTGAAACCACCACCCTTCACAGAAGCTCAGCGTCTGCCCCTCACCCCAGCAACGGCTCCCTTCTTCCCTGCCCCACAGCCACTGACACCCATGCACCTGCTTCCCACAGTGGGGCCACACAGCATCTTCAGTCCCACAGTGGTTAAGCAGCACTCCATCGTGTGCCCACGCCATGTCCTGTGAGCCCAACTGACACGAGCCTGGTGTCATACGAGGCGGCCATACAAAGTGTGTGTGTGCCCAAGTACCCCCCCACCCCCACCCCCTAATACAAGTTTCTGTCTGCAGTGTGGCTCCCACTGCTGGCACACACAGGGACTGGACAAGCCAGGCCGTGTGGTAGTTCTAGCTTCTCCCTCCTGAGGAAGGGCCAGTCTTTCAGTGGTTACACCCCTCCTATCAGCAATAGATGAGGGGTCCCACTTCTCCACACCACTGCCAACACCCCTTACTTTCTGCTGTTCTGGTGGAGGGAGAGCAGCTTCTCTCTGTGGCTTGGGTTTGCATTTCCCTAATGATGTCGCGCGTCTCCCTGTGCTTGACGACCACGTGTACATCCTCACTGGTGAAGTGTGTCTTGCTGTAGAGCTGTAGGTATTCTTTGCAGATTCAGGACCTTGAGCCCTCACCAGATAAATGGCCCCCCACTGTGACCCCTTTCGGTGGGCTCTGGCCCTATTTTGTTGGCAACAGTCCAATCTGCCCCTTTGGTCCGCTCCTGCCTGTGCTTTCGGCACCACATCCAAAAATCCGTCTGTGAAAGGGAGTTCCTGGCACATCACCCCCTTTGTTTTTTTCTCCCGAGAGCTCTGTGGCTTTAGCCCTTGCATTGAGGGCTTCGATTCGTCATCTATGATGTGATCTAGCGGTGCGATTCTTCTGCGTGTGGTGATCCAGTTGTCCCAGAACCACTGTTGACGAGACCCTGCTTTCCCCATCGAACGAGCTCCGTTCCTTTGTTGAAGCCAGATGACCACAGATATGTGCTTACTCTGGACTCTCAATCCTCTTCCATGTGTGTTGGTCTATGCATCTCACTCTCATGCCAGAAGCAGGCTGTTCTTTATAGGTTTCAAAATCAGGGATTTGGTGAGGTCTTTACAAATCAGAAATATACATCGTTTTTACCAAAAGCAAATTAAAAAGTAAGAAGCTGCCTTTCTTTACTACGTAGAGGAAGCCCTGTAAGAATCTTGAAGGTAGAGTGAAGGGAAACCCTGGTGTGTCTGGGGGCCACTTGGGAGGGCACTTCTGGGAACTGTCGATCAGAGTTGCCTGCTCGCTCCTCGGCCTTGCAGGGTCTCTCTCTGTAGGCAGGCCGGTGGACCCCGAAGGCTCCTGCAGGCTGATGTGCGTGGTCACACCTGCCTCCATCTGCGAGCGCAGCAGAGCCAGGATGCTCAGTCAGAGTCTGAGGCGACGTGTCCCAGGAGCTGCTTTAGACCACAGCCTTTCCAGTACAAATCTTACGACAATCGTCAAGTTAATCACAAGAGCTTTGGCTTCAAAGCAATTAGAGACATCTGCTAACATTACAATTTCTGCTGAAATAGTTTAGCAGCTACAATCTATACATCTAAACTATACAATACAATTATGTATCCAGAAAAATCATCCAACAGATTAGAGGAAGCAGGAAGCGCATTCTGTGTGTCAGAGACTCAAAACCAGTCGGACAGGGAGGGTGGAGGCGCGTTGAAGCTGGGCAGGCTGAGGGGGTACGGCACATACGCCCCTACGAAAGGGGGCCAGACTGTGAGCAGGCCCGATGGCAGATGGGGCAGGTCAGAGGTTAATGATGAACGCCCTAGCTGCGACTGAATTTTCATTAAAATACAACTTCATCAGAAAATGCAGATGCAATATGTAATACAGCCACTGAAAGTGCCTATACTCGCAGATGTCCTTAATTAAACCTTTCAGTCATTGCACAAATGGCATCCTAACAATAAAGGAAACCAAAGCCAG